ATCGCACATGTTATTAAAGCCACTTTCAATTTTCTGTTGACTATCTTGAGACTCCTTTAAAGCCTTTTGTCATACCCTAATTTTGTACTCTAAGATTCTACGTCTTTTTGCATCATCTGCATAGTTTATCATGTCTTGCATCTCGCATAATATCAAATTTATCAGACAGAATAAACTTGTTGAAATTACAGCGGATTGGTCAAACCAAAAGTCAACTGTGCAAAAAATCAGCTGACGAAAAATTTTAAAATCGAGCCTGCAAACGTTAGTCATATTAATCTATGTTTTGCGTAGTTTAACCTGGCGTGCTCATTTAAATTTTTCGACAACTTTTAGGTCACATTTTTGGACAGTTTAAACCATTTTAGCGGGTAAAACTTATTTTAAAATTTGATCAAACGCTATATTTTTTCGAATCGTATATTTTTTGCTGATTATTTGGTATATTCATTTTATTTTTTCAAGCATTTCAATACCGATCCAATTACTCGTTTTTTACCGTCTTTTATTTTTATCTTTAATTAATAATATTTAAATTAATCAGGTTCTCATTTTTCGAAACTCATTTAAATAGTTCATTTTATTATATTTATCTTCTTTATTTATTTTAATATTTAAAGTTTTATTTTTATTTTTTTTTAGAATACTTGTTAATTAAGTTTAGAAAAGTTGTTCTTGTTTTTTTCTTCACATTTTTATGATAATATACTAGCTTTCTATGCATGAAAAAATGACACAGCAGCGACACATCCCTGCACGTTTGACCCGTCTGTGTACTGCCCTCTATCATGGTTCGGAGACGTGGTCCACACCATATAGGACACATGACAACCTGCATTTTTTTTCTTTAATAAACCATACTATACTGCATTCTCTCTCACCATTTTTTTTATTTCTCATTGACAGGCAAAACCGTCACCTGTATTTCTTCACAGAATTTTCTAGCTGCTACCTCATTTTTACACGCCTCACCCTTCATCAATAGGAGATTCACACATTTTTTCCTTCATAATAAAAAAGACTCATTCATTTTTAGCTAGAGGATTTTTCAGGCAACTACAACATTGCAAAACACACTTATCATCTTCACTTTTTTCATAAAAAGACCACCTTCCATAACTTTATTTCTCATTTTTCATACATATCCACTCAATCCTTCATAAACTTTCTTTTACCATTCCATAACAACACACCATACACTTCATACCATGCTCACGTACAACACGCCTGGCTCTCTCATCTCTCTCGGCGGACCCTCCTCTGGACTTTCCTTTTCTTTTGCATTTCAGTTATCTATTAAAAAATGTGGTTGGACCTAACTCAACCCTACAAAAATAATTGATAAAGTGAGAATTACCCCACTTATAAACACATGTTCATTTCATATATTGTCCGATGTGAGACTCTTAACACTTATGTTTCATGCGTATTCTTTTGAATACAAAGATTTGTAGTATTTGAATCGCAAGGTTTTATAAGTGATGCTAGACCAGTTGCCATTTACAAAAGTAAAATTTGTTATAAGGATAAACTTTCATGATTACTTTGTTAAGATGGTTAAAAGTTAGAACTTTTCTTGATGGGCCATTTACGTTGTTTAGGTGCCTTCATTTTTTATATCACTGTAGAACACATGTTTATTTGTTTGTACGTTAAAAAAAAACAATTTATATTTTAACTATTTGTTCTAGTTACCTTTTCTATTTATTTGTATATTTTAGAAAAACACTAAAAAATAATTTTAATTATTTATTTTACATTTTCATCTTTTTGTTTAGTTAGTTGTTTGATATGATTATAAAAAATCTCAAAAAGTATGTTTAATCTTTTGTATTTTAATTTTCTTTTTTTAGTTTAATTATTTATTTGTCAAATATTAAGAAAAATACCAAAGAAATATTTTAATCTTTTGTTTCCAATATTTTTATTAAGTTTTGTGTTCTTTTGTCAAAAGATATTCTTCATTATTTTGTTTTTTAATTTTTTTCAATTAGTTTGTTAATTATTAATTTTATGACAATATTAAAAAAATATTTAATTATTAATTGATTTAAATATTTTTATTTAATATTTATTAATTAAATTATTAATTAATCTTATTAAATATTAGTATTTAAATTAATTAATAATTTTCTTGTTGTTCGATTTTATTGTGTGCCTTGTAGATCTCACGATGCTTTCTCGTGATTGTTGTTGTATATGCATGTGGATTTTATCTGTTTTTACATGATGCTTTACCGTGACTGTTTATCTTTTTCGCGATACTTTGCCGCATATTTCTATTTATTTACTATGTGATGCTCTTCTGCATACATGTTATTTATACGCGATGTTTTACCGCGTATCTGTCTGTTGATTACATGGTACTTTTCCATGTATTTCTGTTGACTTTTCACTGTCTGATTACCACGATGTTTTTCCATGTGTATGCTGTGATATTTTGTCTGTCTGACCATGTATGATGTTCTTCTATGTATATGTTGCTTTCTGTTCCTTGTTGACCTAATTCAAGGGAAGGGACTGCATGTTGACTCATCGTCATTATGTATGTCCCTCGTATGTTCTTTACCTGTCTTAGTTGTTCTTGGTTATTAAAACTTGATAACTCGTAGTTCCACGAACTACGAGCGCTTTAGTTTCTCAAGTTTTTTTTAAGAATACGTAGGCACAAGGTCCCAATCAACAGTTGATATTTCTCTGTGATTGATAGATTGACACTCTAACATCCATAGTGTAATCATGTGGACGACTAACGAAGATAAAGAGCACGTGTAAGTCATTCTCCACATACGAATTTTGTCCCAAAATCCTCTCTTTCCAAGAACATTGACGTCTCATCATACCTCTCTCCATGATGACTTTATGGATGTGTGAGGGCCAATACTTTAACATTATTATCTTTTTTGACAAAAGACACAAGCTTAGAGGCATCTATTCTGTACAAGCCATAGAGTCCAAATAGAGCATAAAGTCCAATAACCAAATAATAAAAATCGTGAAGAAAATGGTAGGCTGTAATGCTAAGTCTTCTCACACTATCCTATTTAAGAACACATTCTACACCAAAAAGTTTATCCTCACGTTCATCTTTATATTTCAATGGCCATCGAAGTCTCCTATTTAAAGAAAGTTAAGGTGCCATTTTTAGATATAATTTTTACTCCCATTTGAAAGTTTACTATTTCTTTTTCTCACTAACTTAAGCATTGGAGTGTTATCCTTAAAAATTAGCATTGTCTACCGGATCAAAACTCAGCTCCACCGCAACACAACAATCAATTATATCTCTTTGATCATTATTTTGCAAAGAGACCTACCTCACAAGTAAAAAAAAAAAGGTTGAGAAATTACTCCAAAGAAACACAACACAAACCATAAGAGATCTAGTAAAACATGCCTCTTAAAAATGCTCTATTTCATAGGGATCTTATCTTGGGTAGTTTTTTTTTTTTTTTTTTTTTTAAAGACAACCCCTTTAAAAAGATTTTTCAATATAAACTTATCCTTATATTCAACTTTAAAGAGTAAAAGATTCTAATAATCTAAAATTTAACTAAAAAAAATTATTATAAAATCAATTTTGAATTTTTCTGGTCAATTATGCTTTAACTTACATTTATTAACCATTTTGATTAATCTCTTTTTTATATTATAAAATTCAATAAAAAATCAATATAAATTATAAGAATTCAAAACAATAATTTTTTTACTATTAAATTAATGGTTAAAATATTATCTCTTTGCATAACTACTATCCTAACCAAATGAAATTTAAAACTAATTTTATTTATTTATATTATTTTAGGTAGGTGAGTTTATTCAAAATATTAATAAATTACAATTTGATTAAAATATTAAAATTTTCTAGTTAACATATTTGTCCTTTTTGGGCAAGTCTTTAAAACCTTAAACCCCACACTCACTTCAATTGATAAACACAACACACACCAACAACTCCACATATATATTTCTTTTTTATTCATTTTCCTTAAGCCTCCAACTCAGACCCTTTCCACTCTTTCATTTCAAAACATTCTCTCATAACTCAACAAAAGCTTTCATTCATCAACCTAGTCGTTGCTCGTTCAATTTCTGCGTACCATAAAAAGACAACCCAAAAGGTTAAATACCCAAAAAAAAGTGTCAAATTCAGAATCAGGATTTGTAAAAATATGATTTTTACTTCATCGGTTTGTTTTTCTGCTGATTCGGTATGTGGGTTTTTGTTGTTGTTGTTGTTGTTCTTTTGTATAGCTTTTTGGATTTGGCTTTGTGGGTTGTTTAGTTTTGTTGATCATGGGCTTTTTGTTTAGTAGAAATTTTTGCAGCTGAATTGTTTGTTGTATTGCTTCTGTGTTTTTTTTTTCTTTTTTCAGTGTTTTGAAATGTTTTTCCTTTTGATATGTTAATTGATTACTAGTTAAATAGTTTGATGAACAATATGTTAGTTTTTATGGATTTGGCTTGATGGGTTGTTGAGTTTTGTGAATTATGGGGTTTGGTTTTGAGTAGAATCTTGTTGCTGAATTGTGCGTGGGTTTGGTTCTGCGGAGAAAAGAACTGCTGTTGAATGAATTGATTGTAGCTATAAAAGTGAGTGGAAGGTAAAGTGATTTATGATTGGATAAATTTATGTATAAGTGAGTTGAACAGGAAATTTCAATGTAAAAATCATGATTAAACTCAAGCTACGAATTTTAGCTTCAAGTAGAATCGCTTATGGAGGCAGAATCAATTTTATTTCAGAAGAACCAAACACCTCAAAATCATTCCAAAATCAATTATACTGTGCAATTTGTTCGGAAATTTGTTATATCTTCAAGGGAATTTGATATATCACTTAGTGTCTTAAATTTTGATTTAATGTCATGTATGTATATCTTGATGGAGTTTTGAGTTGACATTAAATAGTGCTAATTTTGTGACAGTGTCTCTCTGTTCTGTAGTATTAGTCCTCTGCAAGATGATTTCATTGTTTGATTATCAAGAGAAATTGAAGAATGGCTCGTCAATCTAATTTGGTTATCATTGGTGTCTCTGTTGGTTTGGCCCTTGGAATTCTGATTTCTTGCCTCATATTTTTCGGCATAAGGTGGTGCAAGAAGCGTTCTCATATTACACAATCTGCAAATGAGCCTAGTTTAACAACTCTCCCGATACGAACAAATGGAGTTGAAGCAAGTACCGATTTTAGTGCATCGATCACTAGTTCCATAACCACATCAAGGTCAGAAAATCTACAGAGAAATTCCAATTTCTCTTGGTGGAATCATCAAAACAAGGACCGGTTTGCTTCAGCATCGGGCATTCTAAAGTATTCGTACAAGTATGTACATTTTGTTCTTGACCATGATGTTAAATCCTTCTTTCTTATTTTCAAATTGTTCTGGTAATGGATAACTACAATTAAATGTCAAGCTTTCAATTTCAGCTATCGATATCAAAATATCTTGATTATTTGATCTGTGAAATCGGAAGTTCATATAGTTTTTTTATAAAGAAGAAACATATTAATTTTGACATTCACATTAACGTTAGTAACGGTATACCTGACATTTTACATAATAGAGAACTTCAAAAAGCCACACAAAATTTCACAACTACCTTGGGAGAAGGATCATTTGGCACAGTTTATAAAGCAACAATGCCTACAGGAGAGGTGATAGCTGTGAAGGTGCTAGCACACAATTCCAAACAAGGGGAGAGAGAATTCCAAACAGAGGTATTAGCAAATGGCTACTATACTACTTGGTTAGTTGCAGTGTTATCAAATATCCGCAGTTGCGGCACTATGGCAGATTTATATGGCGGTTTTTGGATTCGCCGCAATGGTAATATCAACCGATATTGTCAGTTTTTCCGCCATAATCCGCTATAACGGCGCCACAAAGCGTCTGGTATGGCGGAATTTTGACTCTCCGCCATGGACAACACTGGTTAGTTGGACATAGTATTTTTCTTTGATTTTGTAATCTTAAGATATATTTATATAGTACTGTAAAATGATTCTTTGCTTTTTTTTTTATTGAGAGACTCATACGATTATGTTTTTAAGGACAAGAAATCCAACAGCGCCAATCATATTAGTGTTGTCAAATAGTAGTTATAGCATAGTAGAATTTGAACAAATCGCTATTGTTTTGCGATATGCTATTCAGTACAAAGCGTTGTCAAATAGTAGTTATAGCGACACTATAGCATAGACGAATTTAAACAAACCGCTCTATTTGCAATTAACACTAATTTCTAATTAGTGACATTAGTTATAATTTGAGAAACTCAAAGAACGGGCACTCTATAAAGGACACTGCATTTGCTGAACTTATGATTGAACGAAACATTGTGCCAGGTGTCTCTGCTAGGAAGACTACATCACCGGAATCTCGTGAATCTGCTTGGATATTGTGTAGATAAAGGACAGCATATACTGGTTTATCAGTTCATGAGCAATGGAAGTTTAGCAAGTATTTTATATGGTAAGAGGAAGATCATTCTTTTCCATTATGAGTTTGTGTTTCTTCCAATGTTTTAAAAACCGAACCGGAAATCATACCTACGAGAACTTTGGATCATGGTTCAATTGCTTTAAGTCACTCGAACCAGGGCAAAACTGCAGTCAAACTACTCAAATAACCGAACTGTAGACAATGTCATTTCATGGTTCAACCAGTTGATAATCTGGTTCGGTTTTTAAAACATTGGTTCCCCCACGCCCCCTTCTAGTATGACATTTGTTTGTTGAGAGATGCTTGAATATTTCATTTTATAGACAAACACGTGTTACATCTTTACATGTTTTTAGTAGTCACGTAATCATTAAACCTTTTCTTTTTTAATCTGAATTAATTCTCAACTGAAAATAATCTGGGAATATTTCTAGGTGAAGAACAAAAGTTAAGTTGGGATGAAAGGATGCAAATTGCTCTTGATATTTCGCATGGAATAGAGTATCTTCATGAAGGAGTATGTATGTTCCTTGATACATTTTCCGTTGTGCTATGTGAAAACCTGTTTTAATTAAACGTGAATTTGCATGGAACAGGCAGTCCCACCGGTCATACATCGTGATTTGAAGTCTCCCAACATATTGCTAGATGACACAATGAGAGCGAAGGTAATGTTCCTTGTACAAGTTCCTTGCCAAATAATTTTCCTAAATTTGTTGAGAAATGACAAATGATTGACATTAATGGCATTAATTATCTTCTTTTATCCAATATATGAATTAACTTCAAAATTTCTTAACTAGGTTGCTGATTTTGGCCTCTCAAAGGAAGAGATCTTCGATGGCCGAAATTCCGGTCTTAAAGGTACATATGGTTACATGGACCCGGCATACATTTCCACAAACAAGTTAACAACCAAGAGTGACATATACAGTTTTGGTATCATACTTTTTGAGCTAATCACAGCCATCAATCCTCATCAAAATTTGTTGGAATATGTTAACCTTGTAAGTTACCATTTCCTCCCGCAAATATCTCCTTCATCATGAATTAGAGAAATAATCTTTGCACAACCAAATATAGACAACTTCCGCGACAACTTATCAAGTAGTTAATGCAGTTTAAATACGAGGTTAATTACGTTTAGTAGATGGTTGATAGAATAAGGTATAAATCTCATTAACCAGCAATGTACCCTAATTAACCACAAATTCGGACTTGGTTAACCATAGTTTTTGTGTTCAACTACATGTAGATTTGAACTCAAGAAAGTTGTGGTTAATCGAATTCAAATTTGTGATTAATGAGTTACATAAATGGTTAACGAGTTTTGATTTGACACCTGATATATCCATTAACTATCTATTGAACCAAATTAACCATATTTTTAAAAAGTTATCCAGAAAAGTGTCCGATTTTATCTTCTTATAGGCTTGAAGATTTCTTTCTTTCTGATTTTGCTTATTTGTCTTTTACTTAAAGGCTGCAATGGAACATGATGGTATAGATGAGATACTTGACAAGCAACTTGTTGGAAAATGCAATGTTGTAGAAGTGAGGCAACTTGCTAAAATTGCACACAAATGCTTACACAAATCACCAAAGAAAAGACCCTCTATAAGTGAAGTTTCACAAAGCATATCAAGAATAAAGCAAAGGAGATTGCGCCATGTTATGGAAGATAACTTGTCATTTGCAAATAGTAATAACTTTTCAAGAACTTCGAGCCGATTAGACGATCGACAAGTTGAATTAAGTAGGATAGTAACCATGACCATCAAAGAAACTGTATGAACTAAATTACTCCAATATGAGGTGAAGTTGAAAATCAAATCTTTGTTGTAGTCCACAAGGGACCATGGAAAGTTTACATCTAATCTAATGAAACTATTACTGCAAAACTGAAAATTGATGTTCCACCTTAAATATCACATATATCAACAGAGGAAGACATTTGATTTATATTCTTCTTTTACATGGATAATATTAATGACTGATTAGGTTGATATGATCTCATGATTTCAAGAATCAATTTAGGTGATTGCTCAAATAATTACATATTTCAACATATTTTGAAAGGGTCCATGTTAAAGAATATATAAATTGTAAGTTATGTTTTAAAATAAAATGCAACTTTTTTGAATAATAGATCATATTAATTTTCAATGCAAAATTTATAACAAGTGGTTATAAGGACACATGTCAGTATTTTTCAACAAATTATCTACACACCCCTTTCTTGTCTTGGTACAGTGTTTGTTTTAGATTGACTGATTAATTTTGATTCAATCGATTGTTTTGACGTCAACGCTATCAATTCGAAGACATGAATATTCCGAGCATTTCATTTTTATCATATTTGTAGATTATCACATTTGTAGGTGTTTTTTTGTTATATGTTATTAATGTAGGTACTATGAATTTGTTCGCAAATTCATTCTTTTTAATTTATAATGATTTTAAATTTGTACTATTCGATATATTATATTAATTTAAATGAATATTAACTCAACTCCTATGTTATTTACTTTCTGTTTTTTTTTTAAATTTTGTTGATTTTAAATATTTTATTTATATTATTAATGCATAAATATAAATAAATATTGATCTTAGAGATTCAATTCTAAATAATAAATTAGATCTATTTAACTTAGTTTATATTTCATTTATAAAATGCGTAACTTTCTAAATATATATTTTAGAAATTCTCCTATAATTTGTGGAGTAACCAATCATAGTAAAGTGAATAAAATCTAAGATTCTTCGACACTTCTTAAATGGTGATTATGTCAACTACCTACATTGAAGATGTCACCTTAAAGCACAACAAGCTAATAAAAAGTAACAAAATCAAAAATTGGACTTGGATGGAAATAGACGGCTAACATGCACTTCTTGTCATTAGTATCAACAAAATAGTTTATTCTATTTAATAAAAAACTAGATGGAGGATGTTTTAATTTTTAAATTAATTTTATATTTATTTTACTATTGTGATTATTAATATTTTGATATTATCTTAAAATATTAAATTATTTAATTTATATATTTTTAACTATTTTGTATGTTTTATATTATATAATTGTATTGAAGAGTTTCTATGTTTTATTTAAATAAAAAAATACAAAATTAATTTGGCATTATCCCTTTGGTTTTTATTGGTTAAAATAAATTAATTGTCTTGATGTGAGTGGTTTTTTGTTTGTTTGTAAATTTAAAGTAGGTTTGTTATTTTTAAGTATTAGGAATATTTTAGTTAACCGGGGAAGTGTATGACATATTTTATGTTTCATTCTTAAATTTTTTAGTTAATTAATAATCTTGATAATGTCGAATTTTAGATATTTATTACTGTCAAACTAAATTTTACAACAATCTTAAATTTTATATATTTTACAAAAAAGAATTAAAAAAATTATTTTGATGTCTTTCAATTAATTTAATATTGAACTAAAATAAATTAATCATCTAGTTGGTGTTTTTTTTAATTTTTATATCTAAACCACATTTGTTATTTGTTGACATTAGAGATATTATAAATAATTGAGGAAGTGTGAATAAATTAAAACATTTATAGTTGAATTATTAAATTTTGTTAGAGTTTTGAATAATTTTTAATATAATTTCTTTAGTTAGTTATCAGTTATTTTATTTTTGGTATAGTTGATTTATTTTTGTGTTGTGTTTTTTATTTATTTAATAAAATAGTGTTGTTATTAATTATTGGAAAAAATAGATAAAAGTTGTTGTAATTTTATTCCTCAGTCAATGGCAGGTTTATATAATGAGAATACAATAAAAATATTTAATTCTCTCCTTTATGAAGTGTCGATCAATCTCAATATGCTTGGTTCTGTCATGTTGAACTGGATTATGAACTATGCTAATAGCAGCTTTACTGTCAGAGTATAATTTCAATGGAAGCTCAACTTTCATCTTAAATTCTTTTAAGACTCTAAGGATCCATAATCCTTTAGAAATACCTTGAGACATAACTCTAAACTCGGCTTCTGCACTACTCCTTGCTACAACGCCTTGTTTCTTACTCCTCCATGTCACAAGATTACCCCAAACATAGGTACAATATCTAGAGGTTGATCTTCTATCGGTGACTGAACCTGCCCAATCAGCATCGGTGAAGATAAATACATTCCTTTCACTACTCTTCTTAAAAAATAATCCTTTTTCAGGATTTCCCTTCAGATATCTCAATATCCTATAGACTGCCTCAAGATGTTCTTCGAAAGGAGAATGTATAAACTGACTCAATACACTGACTGAGAAAGCAATATCAGGTCGGGTGTGTGACAAATAAATCAGTTTCCCAACCAATCTTTGATATCTTCCAGTATCAACAAGAACATTACCTTCTCCCCAAAGTTTAGCATTAGGATCCATAGGGGTATCTGCAGGACGACATCCACTCGTTCATGTTTCTTTCAATAAGTCTAGAATATATTTCTGTTGTGAAACCACAATACCATTATTTGACCGAGCAACCTCCATGCCTAGAAAATATCTCATGAATCCCAAGTCCTTGATTTCAAAGTCTATTGCCAATTTCTCTTTTACCCTTGCCATTTCCACTGTATCATCTCCAGTAAGGACAATATCATCAACATAAACAATCAGAACAACAACTTTCTCATCGTTGGAGAATTTTGTGAACAAGGTGTGGTCAACCTGTCCTTGAATGTACCCTTGATTATTCATGGACTGGGTGAATTTTTCAAACCAAGCTCTGGGAGACTGCTTTAATCCATATAAAGACTTGTTTAGTTTGCATACATTTGATGCAAAAAAAATTTCAAAACCAGGAGGAATATCCATATATACTTCTTCTTCTAGATCACCATTAAGAAAGACATTCTTAACATCTAACTGATGTAGGGGCCAATCCAGGTTAGCAACAAGAGATAAAAAAATTCTTATAGTGTTCAATTTTACAACAGAAGCAAATGTCTCTGAGTAGTCTATACCATAGGTCTGAGTGAAGCCTTTCGCCACCAAGTGGGCCTTGTACCTTTCAATTGGCCCATCTGAATTATACTTCACAGTAAACACCCATTTGCATCCAACTGTCTTCTTTCCATCTGGTAGCGACGTAACACTCTAAATTTTATTCTTTTCAAGAGCTTTCATCTCCTCAAGTACAGCTTCCCTCCACTTTGGAATTTCTAGAGCAACCTGCACACTATTTGGAATTTCTACACTAGACAATTTTGAGGTGAAGGCAGACATAGATGAAGACAAATTTTTGAATATGAAATAAAATTGGACATGGGGTGTTTAGTGCAAGATCTAACAGGTTTTTTAATGGCAACAAGATCATATATATCAGGATACAAAATACGACTCTCAGAAACAAAGATAGACTTACCTTTCCTTTTGTTAGGAGGTTGATCATTCCCTAGTTCAGATTCCTGGCAGTGTTGAAATGTGGACTCGTCCCTTCATTTATGGTGCTTTTTCATAAAAACCTTCCCTTTCCAAGCCTGTTTCCTAATTCAAATTTGTTTTCTTGAAGTGACTCATTATTTTGTGGCATTTCAATTAGATAATCATTATCATCATTTTCAGGAATCTCATTGTTTTCTACAAGAGAAAATGTAGGCTAGGATTCACAAGGCTCCTTACTCATAACAGGAGTATGATCAGATACAGAATCATGGCCATTTTCTGTTGGTGCAGATATAGAAGTCTCAGAATTTTGTGGTATTGGAAAAGATAAATTTTTCAAAAAACTCATGTCCTCAATTTAAAACAAGGTTTCCTTTATCTCCTCTCTTGAAGATGAGTGTCATCAAAGAAAGGTTTATTTTCAAAAAATGTAACATCCATAGTGACAAACATTTTCTTGTTTTTTGGATCAAAACATTTATATCCTTTTTGGGTTGAGGAGTATCCAACAAAGACACATTTTATAGCACATGGCTCAAGTTTTCCAACATTTTTATGTTCATGAACAAAAGCTATGCAACCAAAGATTTTTAAAGTCAAATCAGTTAAAATACGAGTACTAGAAAAACATTCTTTGAAGACATTAATTGGAGTTTGAAAATTGAGAATTTTGGAGGGAATTCTGTTAATTAAATACGCAGCTGTTAAAATAGTTTCGCCCCACAAATAATTTGGTACTTTATTCGAAAAAAGTAGAGCTCTAGCAACCTCTAATAAATGTCTATTTTTCATTTCGGCCACTCCATTTTATTGAGGAGTATTAGGACATGAACTTTGATGTACAGACCCATTTTTTAGAAAAAAAATCATCCAGGATAGTGTTAAAATATTCTTTGCCATTATCACTTCTAAAAACTTGGATATTTGTTTGAAATTGGTTATGCACCATTGAAAAAAAATTCTTTACATCCTGACAAACATCTGATTTCTCCTTTAACAAGTACACCTAACATACTCTTGTATGATCATCTATAAATATGATAAACCATTTTTTGAGAGAGAGTGTACTAGTACGGTTAGGGCCCCAAACATCATTGTGAATAATAAAAAACGGTTTTGATGGTTTATAAGGTTGTATTGAAAAGTGGGAACGATGATGCTTTGCAAACTCACATGCTTCACATTTAAACGAAGATAAATTCTTATTGTGAAATAACTTAGGAAACAAGTGTTTTAAATAACGAAAACTAAGATGACCTAATCTTAAATGTCATACCATAATGCTGTCATCTTTATTATTCAAAGTAGAAAAAGACTCAAAGCAGGAACTTATTGTTAAAGGTAGTTATGATGCAGATCCAATGTCAAGGTAGTAGAGTCCTCCACTCTCCTTAGCACTGCCAATCATCTTCCCCGAGTTCAAATCCTGAAAGACACAGTGAGATCGAAAAAAATTAGTTTGACAATTTATATCTTGGACTAATTTTCTGACGAACATTAAGTTACACGATAAGTTTGGAACATGAAGGACATTTGTAAGAGTTAATATTGGAGACAACACAACTGGCCTTTTACCTGCAATGGCTGAAAAAGAGTCATCTGCAATTCTTATTTTTTGATTACCTGCACATGGTTTATATGAAGAGAACAAAGTAGATTCACCTGTCATGTGATCAGATGCACTTGAATCTACTATCCAAGATGACTGGGACTGACACTAAGAAGTGCATAATTACCTTTTGTTGCTATAAAGCAAGAAGGGGTTGGAGACTCGAGGAGTTTGTACAGTCTGTCTAGTTGTTCCGTAGTAAATGGAAGCTCAGTTGTAGGGGATTGCTGCCCTTGATTAGAATTACTAGCTTGAAATGCACGACCACCTTTCTTTTTCCAGTTCGGAGGTTTCCCTTTGAGCTTCCAACAGGTTTCACGTGTATGCCATTCGCGCTTGTAGTGATCACACTAAGGAACTTTATCTGACCTTCTTCCCTCATCAAGGTTCCTAGTAGTCAGAGCTGAACCTTCACATTCATAGCTTCGTGGTGTCTTGCCCATCATAATTCCTTGTTGTGCCTCCTCCCTTCTTATTTTTGCAAAAGTTTCACGAAGAGTTGGCAATGGTATTTTTCCTAAAACTCTACCTCTTACCTCATCAAGGTCTTTATTGAGCCCAACGAGAAACATGAATACGCGATCATTTTTTTGCCTCTTGAGAAACAAAACATTGTCTTTTGTACACCTCCAATTGTCATCATAACTAATATCCAACTCTTGCCACATTGTCAACAGCTCATTGTAATAAACAGTTACACTCCTGTCACCTTGTTTCGCATACCATAACTTTGATTTTAAACCAAATATTTGAGAGGAGTTTTGAATATCAGAGTATGTTTCCTTAATAGCTTCCCACACATCCCTTGCGGAAGGCAAAAACATGTAAGGCTTACCTATTCCAATTTCCATGGAGCTTACCAGCCACGCAATAATCAAAGAGTTTTCAAATTTCCAATAATCAAAGAGTTTTCAAATTTCCATTGTTTGTAACGAGAATCTCCTGATGTCGGTTCAGCTACTGCTCCTGTTAAAAAACCAAGTTTCCCTTTGCTATCCAACACCAACCGAACTGTTTGAGCCCATTCATTATATTTATTCCCATTCAGTTTAGGGATATTGACCTTGAGGGAGTATGAGGAACCCTCTTGATCATTACCACCTATGTTGGAATAACTATCACCAAAGACAATGTTCATGTTTCCATTGTTGTCGTTATTACTGCCAAAAACAATGTTAATGTCTTCATTATTGCTACTGTTTGTGACCACTGGCGATTCCTCTCGTTCACCATTTCCGCGACCACTGTCGTTTCTGCGGCCGCCGCCGTTGCTGCGGCCACTGCCGTTGTTATTCGCCATAAGAGATTAAACATGTATGTGAATCGGATCGGGTAAAAACTATTTACGGTAACTCTAACTCAGAGCTCTGATACCATATTGAAAGAAATAGATAAAAGTTGTTGTAATTTTATTCCTCGTCAAAGACTGATTTATATAATGAGAATTTAATAAAAATATTTAATTATCTCCTTAATGAAAAAAAAAAAAAATGACAATAAACGTAAACAATTAAATATGAAAATAAAATATTTTCCACGTTAATAAATGATACGTGGCAAAGTTAAGGTGCAAGGTAGAAAGCTTAATGATGCAATTGAAAGATAGTAAAAGAATTTAAAAAATAAAATAAGAATGGGTTCAATCATAATACTGACTACTCAACATTATGTCGTAAAAAATCTAATGTATACATGTGATAATGTTAGCCTTTTACAATAAAACAGAAACAACTCTCTTAATCAAATGAATGTTGTCAAGAAAAAAAACCACACTTGAATGAAATTTTATATACTATTTGACATATAAGTTACCAATGAAAGGGAAAGGGAAGATGAAGTCTAAAATGAAATATCTGGTTGGCATTGTCTTCTCAGCTTTCCTTTTCTTCACATACTTCTGTTTGCCACAAATATAGTGATAATAATGCACAAACTGAACAAAAATATCAGCTTTTGGACTTGTTTGTAGACATTCTTTAACTATAAATTAACTTGCTCCATTATTCAGTTTCTTCAAGCTCAGGTTTTTCTTTGTACTGCTTTGGCAGATCTCGTGTTCTAGGAGTCATCATTGAGCAGGGAGTTTTGCTTTTTACTCCACAAAATGACGAAGATGTTCCCGAGTTTTTTTCAGATTCCATGTTTGTTTTTCCCTTGGTCTAGATCTGTATATTGCAACACGCAGCTCTTCATTGAATATGCATTACAATGAGCTCTAATTTCTAAGCATTTAAAGTAATAAGCTAATCACGTAATTGTTTTTGCAACGATATAATGTTGTACGTACAATATGATTAAAACAACTATCTGAAGCTTCTGCTTGAACTCACAATAAGGGTTGTGTCGCAGTGGAGACAAACACGTTGCAACACTTTTAAGCTTTCTTGGAAAGCACCATTAGGCTTGTTAGCACCTCAGCAGATGCTCCATTTCTCTATCAACAAATAAGCAGGAATTAAATTAGATTGATGCTCCTCCCTGGGTGAACAAACAGACATAAGATTAAAACGATCAATTTTTGCAACCTTCAATGTAGATAATGCACTGATATTTGCATCACAATAGAAACAAAGTGATAACAGTACTTCTATACTAAATTTTGTAGAGAATGAACAAGAAAGTGTAAAATTTATTGCAAATAAGAAACAAGAAACTTGCACATCAATAACACATTAACATGTGACTGTTTGTCCTCAAAATAATCCTTAATCATACATAAGACTGTTGATGTCAAATTATATGATCATGAAAGTGCAGACATAAAACAGAAACTTACAGTGGGGGCGTGTTTTTTCAATTACTGAGCAACAGACAATTTCACGAGTAATATTTTGATTAACTGCTGCTCAGAAACTACAAAGAGATCGCAGATCATACGATTCTACGATTAACCACTGCAATTCCGTCCGATTTCGCCATAATCCAACTTTCAGGGAAAGCAAAATCACATAATCATGCATTGTAGGAATAAAAACACGATTCTGATTACCATGACATTAACAAGATTATCAAGATTGTGTTTAACATATGAGTGCTTTGACTTCACCAAATTTGCTTAGCTTGCTGGTTCATGTATTATTCCCAAAAGATTAATAAGTTTTGCTGTACAAGTCAAACTGCAATTTCCTGCTTCTTGTAGCCTTCAAGGAAGCTGCGCCATATATGGGCATTTGGTGGAAAAGGCATGCTTGCCATGACTTCTTCAGCTTCCTTTATTTGTCCATTTTTAGCAAGGAGATCTACTATGCAAAGGTAATGATCTTGTTCTGGTTGAATCCCATAAATGGTTCCCATTTGCTTGAAAAATTTCATCCCTTCACTCACTAATCCACCGTATCTGCAAGAAGAAAGCACTGCTCTGAGAGCTAATGCGTCGGGCTTAAATCCCATCAATATCATGTTGTGGAATATCTTCACTGCCCCGCGAGCACAACCGTTTAACCCGAGGGCAGAAATTAAAGCTGTCCATGTAATAACATTTTTGTCAGTAATTTCTTCAAAAACTTTCACTGAATTTTCAATGTTTCCACACTTTCCATACATATCAACTAGTACATTGCCCAAAAAAGAGTCACAACTATTAGTCTTCACAATAAGACCATGAAGAGAACTTCCCAAATCAAAACTACAAAGTTTGGTGCACACACATAATACAGTCATAAAGGAGTATTTGTCTGGACGGATGTGTGTGGAAAGCATACGCTTGAAAAGTTCAAAAACCTCATAATAATTATTGCTCCGAGCACAGGCTGAAATGACAATGTTCCAAGATACAACATCAGGCCTTTCTAATAAAGAAAGCAACTTCATTGATTCACTGTACTGACCTGTTCGGTTATAGATTCCAGCAATGATGTTAGATGGAATTACAGGAAGTGGGCTATTAAACTCTTGGATAAACGAAAGCGCTTCATTTATAAAACCGTTTTTACTATAAGCCATAACAAGAGAGCTTAACACATATTCATGATTCTCATACCCCATTCTTATAACCAAACTGTGGAGCTGGTGTAGGTCTAATACTGATGACGACTTAAGAACAGCAGAAAAGGAAAACTCATTAGGGACACAACCCAATCGAAACATTACTCGTAATAACAAAGTTGATGTGGAAGAGCAAACATTTGAGTAACCTAATATCAAAGCATTCCAAGAAACCACATTCTTCTCTTCTATCTGATCAAAACAGTAATGTCCCGAAACCAATTTCTCAAATTTGGCATAGAAGTCTACCAATGCAGTACCAACAATAACATCAGATTCAAAACCACTCCTGATAACTTTAGCATGAACACATTCTCCACACACCAAGCTTCTCAAACCAGTACACGACTCAATAACAGCTACATATGTGGCCTGACTTGGCGTCAACCCCTTCCTCAACATATTTGAAAACACCTCCAATGCCACTTGAGACCTCCCACTTTTCACCATTGAATCAATGATCATATTCCAGGATACAACATTCTGAACAGGAACCTGCTCAAACAATCTCTCTGCCAAACACAAAGCTCTACACCTAAAATAAACACCAATAAGCGAATTAACTGCAGAAACATAACCGTCAAACCCACATTTAGTCATCAAACAATGAATCTGTTCCCCATAACTCAAATCCTCTTCAGAATCAACGAGTCCAGACAGCAGGGCCACAAGAGAACCTTCCGACAACAACACCCCCAACCCCAATAATTCGCAAAACAAAGCCTTCGCATCCTCAATAAAATCATTACAAGCCAACAAAGACAACATAGTATTCCAAGTCACTGTACTCTTATAAGTCATATCATCAAACACCATAAAAGCTTCGTTCAAACATCCATATCTCCCGAAAAACCCCAACAAAGTACTACCCACAAAAGCATCAGAATCAAATACTCCATTTTTAATACTCAAAGCAAACAACTGAAAACCTTGAACCAGCTTCAACGTTTCACAACAAAGCAAACTCGTTAATGTATACTGATTAGGAGCAAATCCACATACCCTCAAGTGGTTCAACAAGCTCCAAGCTTCAACTACATTTCCACGTCGAGTATAAGAAGTTATAAGTGTGTTGTAAGAGACTAGAGTTCTTTTAGGCATTTCGTCGAACACCTTGCGTGCTTGAGTGAAGTTGCTGTGGGCAATGTAGGATGATATGATGTTGTTGTTGATGAAGATAGATTGGTTTGGAATAGGAGGTGTTGTGATGGAGAGTGCATGGAGACATTTTGTTTCGTCGAGGGATCGAAATGTGGAGCTTGATTCGAGGAAATTGAGGATACGGGAAACATGGCCATTGAAACTCATGTAGATTTTCGCTTTGAGGGAAAACACTCGTTAGGAAACATTGGAAAACATAAATTAAAATTTGTTGATTAAGGAATCACTCAAAAGGAATAAATTACTTCTTCAAAATTTGTCAAACTTCATTCTTAGTGATCTTTTTAATTTAGTATGGTAGAACTACCCATATTATATATTCCATTAAATAAATGACATTTCTAATCTTTTCACTAATTGAACCTTCAAACAAAGGGATTGTATCTCCCTAAGAAATTTAAACATTCTTTTAGAATTTAAAAATAGACTTAATATATATTTTTTCTGTATTTTAATTTCGAGGTTCATTTTAATTCTTTAATTTTAAAATTATATATATTGATATGTTAACTCATCAAAATATTATATATTAGTTCTTTTTATTCTATTAGCGACAAAAAATTTAAAAATTAGTCGTTAATTAGACAAAAAAGACTGATATAGAACGTTTTGAAGAGTTAAGAAATCAATATGGACGTGACACCCTAAAATACCAAGCAATGTAGTCCTATGCACAATTCCAATCGCTAGGAAATAAGGTATCTGTGCGTCATATAGTACCAGTTTATTAATGTAATCATTATACATGGCATCTACATGTCTAATGTAACACCACAAATTTTCAATTAGGGTCTGTTTGGTTTAATCAAGGGGAGGGGAGAGATTTTTATCAAGGGGAGGGAAGGGGAGGGGAAAGGAGGGGAGGAATTTTAATTACATATATGTTCGGTTCAAAATATGAAAGGGGATGAGAGGGGAGACATTTTATTTACAAATATGTTTGGTTCGCAAGGGGAGTGGGGTATTTTAAAACTAATTTACTTTTTTATCCTTTTAATTTTACCATAAGACTTGTGATAATTACCGTTTATAATTCAAATACAAATTTATTGACGAAATATAAATATTCAATTAGAGATCATCATGAAATATTTTATAAAAATGCAACGATTATATATATAATTGGCTAACTTACAGTTTTTGCCCTCATATTATTATAAACAAAAACATTACAATAACTAAAATTAGCATTAAAATATGAAAAATAAAATAAAAAATTTAAACAAATATAATAATAGTAAGATGAAGATATAAAAATACAAAAAATATAAAAAAGGAAGATTAAATTTGTTTCAAAATAAAACTTTTAACATTGTTATAAGTTATATTTATATTTAAATAAATAATAAGGATAAATATGTAAATATAATTATAATTAAAATCAAGCACCTCCCCTCCCCTCCAAATTCCTCCAAATCGAGGAGAAGCAAAAAGTGGTTCATGAGGGGTTTTGGTCCCCTCCATCTACCTCCCCTCCCATTCTTAAAATTTGAACCAAATACATAAGTTATTAAATATTTTCTCCCCTCAATTTACCCCCAACCAAACAGACCCTTAATTATTTAAATAAATTTTAACTTGTTTTTATTTATTTATTTTTGAGTGTTGGTGAATTGATATGATTTATTTGATATTTGTTAGGCTTATTGGGATCTGTGAGATTTTTATTTAATTAATTTATTTTAACTATTCTATTGAGTCGTTACATGATTATATGATCTATTTGTGTATTTTGAATATTTTGGTGGAATTATGAGAGGTGAAATAGAATTTATATTATTATTCAATATTTTCTTAATTAAAATAAAATAGAGAGAATTGAATTAAAAAGAGAAATAAGGAAATAAGGAGATTTGGTGTAAGAAGTGAGATAATGAGGAATTTGGCGGGACACAGGCGGAGGAAAAACATAAGGTGGGGGGAGAAAAATATAAATATCAAAGAATAGAAAAATAGGTTAAATAAATAGAAGGGGGATAGAAGGGGGGAGAGAGGAGAGAGTAGAGAGTTTGGTCTGATACGTGAAAAGTTGGAAAAAAAATGAGAAAGACGCAAGGAACCTTAAATAGAGCTATAGGAAGGAGAAGGCATAACCAAAACTTGGATTCTTTGCTGGAAAATTCAGGTAAGGGGAGGAGCTTATTCTCTAATCGGTGTATGTAATTATACAGGATATGAGGGATCATAACCCTCTCCCTTCATTGTTGAGAAATTTTGACCTTGAAGAAATTTGTGTAAAACCTTTAGGTTGCTATTGTTGATTCAATGTTGTAATTTGCCAATGGCTGTTTTGGATGCAAATTTATATGATTAAAGGTCATGATAAAAATTAGAGATGATGTAGTTCATGTGCTTAAGTTATGTATTGATGAAAAATCATGATGAATTAATAAGATATTGTCGAATTAATGATTGATGGTGATGATAATTGTTGTCTTATGAGTGGTATATTGTATACAGATGAGTATGTGTGATCATTCATGTTAAAAATTAAACTGGGATAGGTCTAGGTTGGAGAAATTGGGCTTAAGAGTGGAATTCTCGTGAAAAATTAGCAGAAAAACATTGCAGATTTGATTTGATTCGAATCATATGGTTACAATATAAATTTTGATTCGAATCATAGTCTCTTGGTGACTTTTTCCTGATTTAATTCAAATCATATATTACATGTGATTCAAATCATAAAGGTAGATTTTGTTCAAAATATTGTTTTCATCATAGCTTGAGTTTTGTGACTCTGTTTGAGACGCAGTTTGAGTCGATGGGACGGTAACACATAAGACTACCATATGGTAAGGAATTGGGAGGTTAAACATTTATATTAAAACCTAAATTTAATGTCTTCTTGTGGTGAGTCGATTCAATGTACTATGACGAATTAGTCATCCGTGATATATTGTTCGCATGTTATTAATTATTTGTGAGATAATCTATGGTGTTGTATGCTTATTGGTGATTTATATGCTTTGATTATATACTAATGGTATTGCATGTTCATTGGTGAGTCTATATGGTTTTGTTTATATAGTGATGGTGTTGCATGTATATTAGTAAGTTTATATGGTGTTGCTTATATTATGTTGAGTTATCATTATATAATGGACCGAATTATGTTGATTATGTAGTGTGTGTGTGTGTGTGTAATGTTGAGTTATCATTATATGATACTAGCGTCCAGACGGGCACTCGCGTGTCCGTCTGTCCGCTTTTTTAATGTACACGTAAAAGTTTAAATGCTATTTTTTTATTTAATATTAATTTTAAATAGAAGTTATGTAGGAAGTTAATAGTAGGTAGTTAATTAGAGCAACTTCAACGCAGGGTTGTTAAACCAAAATTCTTTATAGCTTACGTTAGTAATAAGGAATTTGCATTATAGGAGAGCTGACATGACATACAAATGAACTAAAATTTAGTTCCCATTATCTATATAGTTAATGTTAACTATGTGAAACCTATTATAATATTATTTAATATTAATAAAATATTCCAAATATTCCAATAACATTAAAGTAAGGATATGATATTTGAAAATAGTAACGGTCATATTATCATTTTTTACCTTCTATAAATTCTATAGAAATTTTAATTTTTTTTACACACAGTTTTACTTCTAAATTTTTTTCTTTCAATTTCCAATCTTATTTATTTATCAAATGAATCCCAACCAATCGAATCCTTATTATAATTATATTCCTATGAAAATGTAATTTTTTTTATGTATTATTGTTGTGAATTTTGTATCATTTTTAATTTTATAATAAAATATATTTAATATTATTTTTAAGTTTTTAAGGTAAATTTTATTTAAAAAATTATATGTATTTTAATTAAAATAATTAAATTAATGGTAATTTGAATAAAAAATATAAAATGTGGGGTCAAGTTTTGATTTCTTATAGACAACCACCATTAAAGTAAAAACTACTCAAATCAACTATAAATTTTTTAAATCCTACAAATCACTTTGGGCCCACAAAAAGTATTTTAGTTTATCCATTTAATTTACTCCCACTAAAGGTGCTCTTAGGAAGTTAATAATAAGTTATGTGAAATATTATAGTAGTGATTAAATTGGAAGTTATTGTGTAAATAACAAATTAAAGTAGGGATAAAATTGGTAGAAAAATAGGCTACACCAAAACACCATGTTTTGCCTTTATATATGTTATAGATGATGAGTTATGGTAAAATATGTGGTTTAGGGAGGAATCATTAATGATTATTTATTACATTTACATTGTTGTGGCATTTCATGTGTCATGTATATAGGAGATATGTGTCGACTTCAGTTTAATTGCTGATGATTAATGTTGGGACTAAATCACTAGCATAACTCTAATGTCCAAATACTGGTAGGGGTGTGCAAAAAAACCGGTTTTTGTTAACCTAATTTGTATCCAAATTGTTCCACTTTTAAAAATTCAAACCAAATGCTAAAATATAAATCTGGTTATCCAAATATAAACCAATTTCCATAATAATAATGTGGTTTAGTTATTGGGTATTCAAATTTCATTATTTGTTAAATTAATATGTTTTTGTCTCTTTTCATGTTTTATCATATACATGTTATAAATCAATTTTATATTTTGAACTATTTTAAAGTTAATTTTTTTGAATTTCATAAAAAATAAGTTATTTTACAAAAAATTCATAATTTTGTATTTCAAAATATAAAAAAAAATTGTTTACAAATTCTTTAACTACCTAAAATTGTGTACTAATACTTCACAAATTATATGGACTTTTAGCAGTTAATTATATGAACTTTCAGTAATTAATTATATAGATCTTAGTGCATCGAATTTGATTTGGCATGTGCAAGAAAATATACCAAAATTTGATTTGTTGAATTTGACTCTAATTTTCATTTATAAATCTCGAAGATCATTAAAGCTTTATAAAAAAAATGATTATAAATATTATAGATTTCTCCACCAATAGATAGAGATTTTGAAATATACACATATATGCATTATAACATATTAGTTACCATTTTAAGTCCATATAATTTGCTGAAATTTTTTATTTTCAGTTTCATTGCTATCTTCAGGTGGCAGAGTCTGAAGAACAATTGCTAGTGTGGCTTGGTGTAGACTTTAAGCTAAAGGCCTCAGCATTCAAACAAGTTACTACACTTGGTAATTGTATATCACCATATGGCACCATTCAGAGTTGGTGATAAAGCCCTGGTTGTTCATACTGCAGAAAGCAAGTTGTATTGTCTTATCAGCTTGTCAGCTAGAGTCTACAAGATTGTAAGGCTCAAGAAATTTTGGCATGTTCTACGAATATCTTCTCTCAACGAATCTACTAGTACGAGAACCTCTTGAAAACTCAAAGGTTAAACGTGTTACGCACTAGATTCAGAATCTGTTGTGCATCCATCTTCAACGTCTCTTGTATTATGGAGTTAAGGCAAAGACACTTGATCAAGTTACCTCTTCAACGACTAGTTTCTGCAAAGGCTATAAATATGGCTGAAAATTCAAGTTTGAATCTTAAAAAGATTCTTTAGAAGAATGAGTAGCAAGATCAAACAATTATCAACTGTATTATAATATGCAGATTTTCTGTTGTAGGTTGTAATTGTAAAAGCCTTAAGATTTCTTACCATTGAATAACTTAGAAATCTTAAGAGCTTTAGGTATTTGTTATGGTGATTTCCTGTACCTCTGATGCTTGTATCATGTACACCTTGTTCTCTATTCTGCAGTGCCTTCAGTAGTTTAGAGCAAGTCTCTTGATGTGTGCTTGAGCAGAAGTCTTGTCTCATTGGGATTCAAGAAACAAGTCATAAGACAAGATGCTTAAGCCACATAAGTCGCGTTGCTTGAGTGCTTGAGCTGTGAAAGTCTTATTTAGCTAGTCTGATTAAGCAAGGAGAAGTCTCCATCTGAGGGGCGTGAGCAGGAAGTCTCAAGTGTTGCTTGAGCAAGGAAGTCTCAGTCTGGATGGCCAGAAGAACAGGTGGTTTGCTCAGAGGACGTGAGCAAGAAGTCTTAGACATGTTCTCTAAGCAAGGGTAAGTCTCAACCAAAGGACCTTTTGAGCAGTTGGCTCGGTCAAAGGAAGTGAGCAAGGGAAGTCTTAGATATGTGCTCTAAGTAAGAAAGTCACAAACAGTTGGTCTGAGCAAGTGTAAATGACTTATGCAGAAGCATAAGCGATTGTAATCAAAGTGGTTATAATGAAAATATCTTGTGAGTCAAGCAGACTAAAGTACTCTTAGTTAAGGGAGGAAACATGATAAATCTTTTGCATCTTCTTCTATTATTCATTTACTTTTGTTATATCCACTGTCAATGAATTAAAACAGAATCTGAACACCAGTTCTGATTCTGAAACTCTAATCATAAGTTAAATTAAAGAAAACACGAAACACAATTCAACCCCCCCCCTTCTTGTATACATTTCACACCTTCAACAACTGAGTCGGAGAGGATGACGGGGCCCCACTTCCGGCTGAAGTTTCAGTAAATCCTATAATACATTTTTAAAAACAATTAGTAAAATATTACAAAACAAATTACTAAAAACACTTAAGAAAGACTGAAACAATACCTTGTAAAAAATCTTCAAAAATCTCATACTCCTCGTTGAATTCCAAGTCTTTAAATTGGTAAAAGAAAGACCTCAACCAATTCTGAGCACAAATTAGTGCCTCTTCCATTTCTAGTTTGAGTGAGCTTCTATATAACTCTAAAACCCTCCCACACGTGCTAAAATCACTCTCAAAAGCCACGGTTGAAACTGGCGTGGGCATGATATCTCTAACTATTTGAGACAAAATTAGGTATTGACCAACATTATGTTTCCACCAACAAAGAATGTCAAACTTTTCTTTATCTTTCTCATTAAAAGTTAAACATTTTCCTTCTATATAGTTTTGAAGCTCAGTTTCTTCTTCCACTGAAACCATAGACATCAAATGTTCCTAAAATGCATTTTCCGTATCTATAGATAAGGGTACTTCATCATTGGCAGCAGTTTCACCATGAAAGATAGTCGCTGCAACAAATGGAATTGAGCCTCCAAAAGTGTCATATTCTTATTTATAAAGATTTAACATCTTTGAAAGATTGTCATTGATATCTTTTAATAGGGATTTCATAGTGTCATATTGTTCTCCATACATATCATTAAAACACCCTTCTACATATCTTAACTAATATCGGGGATCAAAGATAACACTAAAATAAAGGAGTTTGTTCATCTTAGTGATATCAACCCAATATTTACTATACTTTTCCAACATGTCTCTAGCCACCCCAGCAAACAATCCATTAAGGTCCATGTTTAATTTCTTAAGTTCAATGTAAATGGTAGCCAAGTACGGAAAAGCAGTATGTAAGTTTGCCTTTGTTGAAACAGAAAAAACCTTTGTCGCTTCATAATAATTCTGCAAAAACTTTATAAAAACCTTAACATTATCCCAATCTTGACTACTATGGGTAATCAACCTCAAAGAAATCCTTATAAGCTTCATCCCCATCTTCTATCTTATCAAAAGCAGTTTGAAACTTTTCAGCCGCATCTAACATCAAATATGTCGAATTCCATCTAGTTGAAATATCAAGACATACTGACTTCTTGCACAAAATCCCAGCATACTCCACACATTCCTTAAACTTTAAACCCCTATGGGGTGAAGATCTAACAAATCTAATTGAATTTCTAACACTTGAAATTGAGGTGTACGTTGGCTACTTGTAATCCATCCCTCATAACTAGATTCAGTACATTAGCATAACACCTCATGTGAAACCCAAATCCATTCATCAAAAGTCCATTCATGTTTTAGTTCTAAATATTTAACATCAACATCATTTGATGATGCATTATCCACCGTGATGGTAGAAACATTACTCAACCCTCACTCCTTCAATACCTTATCAACCTTCTTACCAACCGTTTTAACTTGGTGATTTGGAATAACCATAAAGCTTATTATTCTTTTTTGGTAATTCCAATCCATATCGATAATATGGGCAGTGAGGGTCAAGTATATTTAGATTTTGGACAAAAGTCCAACAATCTATTGTAATTGCCAACCTACTACAATCAGACTTGAAGAACACTTTCAATCTCACTTTCTCATCAAGATATAATTGAAAGCATACCCTAGCTATGGTTGTCCTTGACGGTATAGAAAATTGGGGTTGCATTTGCCTACAAAAGTACTTAAGCCCCTCCCATTCAACTGTTTTGAGTGGTTTCTCATCCAAAATGGTAAAATAAGCCAATATGTTTTTGCAAGCTACGTGATTATTTATGTAGGGTAGGTAGACACGTTCAATGGATACTTGGGACACGTTTTCATGACTCTTTAAGTTTGATGTTCCATGTTTCTTAGAGTCACACATATACATTTGACGATAATATTTACAAGCAGTAGTTGGGGGTTCACTATCAGGAATAAGGTTAAAGTGGTCTCACACCTCAGATCTTTTTCTGTTACCATTTGCATTAAGTCTTCTTTTCTTTGGGCCAGTTGATGAAAGATTTTGTTGCCCACTTGCTGAAATAATTGGATTTTATTGCCCACTTGCTGAAACAATGAACATAAATTATTAGTCCATGATATGACAGTAGCACATTGAAAATAATATTGAACAAAATGCTACTGAAACAATGTATGAAAAGATGCACATTAAATTATATTACAAATGCTACATTATAATATGCTACATGATATGAAAATATGCACATTACATGATACATGATATGAATATGATAGTAGCACATTAGATTACATGATTACATTACTGCTACATTATAATTTGTTACATGATATGAAAAGTAGCACATTAAATTACATGATTACATTACTGCTACATTACAATTTGTTACATAATATGAAAACTATTGAAAACTCGTTGAAAACTATATTACAAATATATGATAGCGACAAACATATTGAAAACTATATTACAAATATATGACAGTAGCACATTATTGAAAACTATTGAAAACTCTTTGGAAACTAAATTACAAATATATGCTAGCAACAAACATATTGAAAACTATATTACAAATATATGCTAGCAACAACCTATATTACAAATAAATTTAATTTCTCTACGGTTCTTTCATTTAGTAAACAACATATATATTCTCATATAACACATCATTCAATTGCAAAAAGGGTAAAAATAATATGTTTTACTTAATAATGATACTTTAAGAACTAAAAATGATACTATACTCAATTTTAGAGAAAATAAATTTCAGTCTCTTTAAGAAAAACGTGTCTATGAAAACTCAGCATTTTTCACTTGTTGAATTGAATGAGATTTAAATTATCATGGTGCTTTTCTCATTAGAGAATAGAAATGTTTCCAGCTGCAGAGATTTATTATAGTTAAATGCTCACATTTGATATTATACAATGTTTCATATGCTTAGATAAATGATTAAAACCAAACCTAATCAACTACAACACAGGAAAGTAAGCATAGCTAAGAAAAGTAAGAGACCATGAAGCATATCTATATTATATATGATGATGACAATATTGAAGACAGAAAAAAAAGAGTAAAATAGACATTTATGGATATGAAAACACATTTACTGCAATCACAAACTTTCATATTTAAATAATTTACATACTTAGTCCTCACTAAACACTATTTTGCATGATTGAAGGCATTTTCTAAATTGTAGGCCATATCATTCATTTAACAACAAGGTTCATTCATTTATGTTCTATAGCACCCCCAACCAACTCAGCTCCTATAAACTTAGATTCAGAATAAATAATGAACAAGAAGAAAAAACATAAATCGTTTTTACCGCAACAATACATCAGAGTAGATTTAGACTTACAAGTATTTTGCATTTCTCTAATTCCTCCAGCTCCTTGCACATCTCCAGCTCCTTGCATATCTCTATTTCTCAAACAAAATACAAAATATTAATTGTTATAGCAACAAATCAAAACAAATCAGGACATAAGAGCACAAATAGATATTAATAGTTATCATAATAAATCAAATCTTTTAAGAACGAAAGTGACGAAAATGATACGAAATAATCAAAAGAAATCATAAAAAACCTTTCTTCTCTAAGATTGAAATGGTATAAACCTGATTAGGTGACGAAAAGGACGAAAAGGGACGAAAGATCATTGGAATGGAATGGACCTCGTTGTGGTTGTCGGTTGAGCATTGAGGGACGAGTGTAAACGGTGACGATGGTGGAGGATTTGGATTGTTTAGAGTTTGGGTAAAGGAGGCGGTGGAAATGCAAGCATGGTTTTAGGTTTAAGTTAGAAGAAGAGGAAAGGAAACACACTTTTAAGAAATGAGAATATGAATCACAAAGTAAAGAGGGTTAGTTGTTTTGTGTGTAATAACTCATTGATCGGTCGGGTTCGGGGACCGAAGGGCCCAATTTAATTGATCCAAACCCGACCACACTTGCCCAGTCATGACCAAACTACACATCCGGCTAACCCATTCATCCAAAGAAACCTGAACCGTTGTAGTAATTCTCTTTTGGTTCGGTCAGTTAGTCTCGGTTGGTTTTGTTTTGTCCACTCTTATCTCCAGAAATGACAAGTAACTTCAAATTATAGCAATTATAAATTTACAAGAATAATGTTGTTGTTGGTTAGAACCTAACTTTGTACATGAAACCAAACATTTCCACCACAATTGCATGCAAAATCAGCCCCATACTTAGTTCTCTTTTTGCAAATCTTTGATTAGTATCAGAGGCATTGACATCTACTTAACACAAAATTTATATTAGAAAAACTATTATGAACAAAAATAAAAACAACTAATATGAAGTTTAAAAGAAATTAAATAATGAATTGAAAAAAACAATATCTTATTGAGTTGTAATGATGTAAAACATAAAGCTTGCAGTAAATATCATATCTTACTCACTTATAAAATATCACATCAACATAGCTAAATGTCACCAAAGTTGAAATATCATCAAACCTTCTTTGCAGAACAAACCAAAGATAAGATTTTCATAAATTTCAAATTCACGACAATTTTGAACTCTGATAACATGTATCTCTAGTGGTAGCATCATTGATAATAAGACAACAATTGTGTCTTGTCTCTAGATAAAACCCATTTACCGTAAATAATATCTCATTGGTCAACATTCCATTGTCATAAACTTTTGAATCATGTGAAATTGATACCCGTCGTCGGTGACTAACCTAAAATATCAATATCTTTGTATTGAATCATGTTGCACATGTCTTGTACCATCTACATATCAACAAGGAGCTTTTAACATCATATATAAGATAAAGTGAAATGATCATATTTTTGCATTATGGTGCCAATAAGTAACACTATAACATAGTCTCCAATCATAAGTAACATAATTTAAGAAAAGAAACTTACCATTTTTATATAAAACACTATAAAAGAAAATTTGAATTGAAGTTTTAAAAACATTACTTGAAAAGTTCATAAAAGAATTATATCAACCAACTAGAAGACACAAACTAAGAAGATAAAAACTAATGTACAAAAAGGATGTCACTTTACTCTAGTTTTTAATGTCTACCACATCTAGTGAATTTTGTTTCTTTTTTGTATTCTTAGTCATTCAACTTTCTCATCACAAAATGTCATTTCAGACATTAGCTCAAAACCATAGAATTATGCTATATCCCTATCATGGACATACCAACACCTACCTACATTAAACATTAATAAGAGAAGTTTAGAAATCAATATTTAGTTGGTATAATCAGAAAACACAACAGCTAAACTTTTTCCAATCATAATTTTGAGAAATTATTATGCAAACAAAATGAAGGCAGAAAACATAACAACTAAAAATTATCCAATCACAATTCTAAAAAAGTATTATGTCAATAATATAAAGAATAGAAAATGCATTAATCATATAATATGATAGTAAACATTGTAAATGTGCCTTAAAACCTTTACT